GGAAGTGCTTATGTCATTCAAGTTAAGCAAAATTCAGAGAGCAACTTGGTCTTGTGATTTTACTCCTTGGCGTATTTACTGACTGACTTTGAAATACTGCTGGCTAATTTTACAACAAGAACTGGAATAAAATTCTGAAGAATTTAAGTCCCGTTTGGTCAGTCTTGAGAAATCATCTTCCTGCCCTCACTGAAGAATTTACCCTCTCCAACCTCAACGTTGACCACGTGCTTAACTAAGCACAGTAAGAGCTGAGAATATTGAAAACACTGCTTGGATTTTTAACTCAACTCTCGCTCAGACACGATTTTTGTCATTTCCTGCAAAAAGTAATGCCGCATATACTTTCACCACTGCGAATAAATAGAAAGAATAAACAATATGCAATATGCAGGAGATGAAACAGACCGATTTACACTGTGTATTAGGCGAGGTATAATGCGAGCCATGTTTTCCAGAAGCAACCACGGAATCGGTCTTTCATTTGTTGATAACGCAGCAACATACGCATAGGATCGTCGATCACCTAAGAAGTTCGCAACAGTGTTCGCAACACAGTGAGAGAATTTTTTCAAGAAGCAGCGGTAGCACGGAAGCACAAAACTGACAATGCCTCACCGTAAAGACCAGATCAATGCATGCAACCGTAGGGCTTGATTCGACGGTCTCCGCTGTCACTGGCATACTCCAATGCCATACTTGCACAACTCACTTATATAACAAAAAACAAAAGAAGCTGAGTTAAAAAATTCATAAGCTTGAAGTGCAGTTTTCATGCACTTCGAGCTTGCAAAAACGCATAATGTCGAGAGGTCGTCTGTGTGTGTGTTCGGAAGCGAGTGAACTTTTGTCGCCTACTTTCATATTTCTCAGCAACCAGGGAAGCTGGGAGGCTGAAATTTTGGGTTTATGTTCTTACTCCGTGTGCCACCCCTCCCCCACATGCGCCTAGACGCCGCGTACGGACCCCCAAAAAAATACGCAAACTTTTTTGGCGGGGAATGGTTCCGCGAACGAGGCAAGCTACAAAGTGAAACTCTGCAGCGATATTCTCGACCCATGTGCGAGTTAAGGATTTCAAATTCAGCTGTTCGGACGCTTGTGCAGCGTGTACGGTCATGTCAAAGTTTGCACATGGCACTGTCTTAACTCGAAAACTTGCCGGAAGACAGTGGCTGAAATTTTCTCAGCATGTTTAGCCCCATATGGAAAATCGCATACCTAAAACGAGTAGTGACTTGCAGTTGTGGCATGATTTAAAGCAATTCAAAGATAGTTGTAGCGAATTGTCTATTTCGCTTACCGAACAAGATGCGAGGCTCGGACTTCGCTGGGATATTCTACTTTCATGTGCAGTCATAATTCTGATTGGAAGTGAAATTCCCTGCAGGTTGGCGTGAGAAATACTCAACTTTACCGAAAAATCAGAAACGAGTGCATTTTGTCCAGCGAACGACCGCCTTGATCCTCTCCCAACATGCGAATAAACTCATTACGTATTTTGACTTTTTGGCGAACGACCGCCCCGGCAGCATTCCTAATTTTCAGTGAACTGGAAATTTGCATTTTTTCGAAGGGCGAGCATTTACGAGAAAAACGACCGAGCTTCATACAAAAAACTGGTAATCATATACCTGGAGATCCACAGTGCCCTACAATGCAACACCTTCATATCAAC